AATTAATTAAGATTTTATTAGACTTTGGTTGAGATATATAATTTATGATTTGATTAAAATTTGATTATGATTTTTTTAGGATTTTATTAAAATTTTGTTAGGTCTTAATTAGAATTTAATAATAAATTTTTTAAAATTTTATTAGAATTTGACTATGATTTGATTAGAACTTGGTTAGAAATTAGTTAGGATTTTTTTATAGTTTTATTAAAAATCAATTACAACTTGATTTGAATTTCATTAGGATTTAATTAGGAATTGGATTAGGATTTGATTTGGATTCTTTTAGGATTTCATTAAGATTTGGTTAAAATTATTTAAACTTTGTTAGAATATGATTAGGAATTTACTAGAATTTCATAAAAAATTAATAAGATTGGACTAAGATTTGGTTAAGTTTTGAATATAGTGAGTTAAAAATTATTTAGACTTAATTTGGAACTAATTATTATATAATAAGATATATTTAAGCTTTTATAAGTTTGATAGGATTTACTCATGATAATTGGAAGCTTACTTAGGTTGTTCAAGTTTGCCAAAGGGTGTTTTTAGACACCTTACATATTATTTTGGATTATAAATCAAACTTCAAAGAAAGTTCAAATCTTTTTACAACCAAATTCCTAATATATTTCAAGTTAATTTTTATATAAGACAATACCAAGACATCAAAAAAAAAGGAGGTTTGAAACATTCATTGAGACAAAGAAGAGAGGATCTAAAGCAATCATTAAGAAGCCTTGGGTATGTGTATAAACATAATAGATGTATATATAGTAATTTTAGGTATGCTTATAGCTAAAGCTTTTTGATATTGTTTCTTAAAAATAAGAGATTTGTTAGACAATTTTTAATAGCCTTATTTTAACTTTATAGAAATCTAACCATCTATTCCATATCTTCAAAACTTTCTTGATTTTTTTAAGAAAGATATTATTTACCTATAATATTCTATATTCTTCAATTTATTTCTATCTAATTTTATTTATTTTATAATATAGGAATTTATTACATGTAACGTTATAATATATGCAACATAACAATTGATGTGATTTGGTGGAAGCTATAATCTTTATTGTTTTTATGTAATATAATTTTTAGTAAGTTTCAATATTTGATTTATGGTAATTGTTAAAATATAAGTTTAGTTTTTTAATATTAAATATTCAAAAAATTATAATATATATTTATAATCTTAAGAAAAAAATATGTAAATTTATGATATTAAAAGAAATATTGTTACAATACATGATAAAGATTTAAACCAAGTAAGATATAGAAATATTTATATGCTGCTATAATCATGTATATCCTATTTTTAAAATATCATTTGTGAGGATTTTAATTTTTATTAAATCTTTAAAAAAAATTATAAATCTAAAACTTGTATACGTTTGTTAAAACATTATTTAAAATTTCATAAGATATGAAATCTTCTAATTTTGGTAAGAATATATATATATATATATATATATATATATATATTTAAAAACATTCCACATGCTTGTACTAATTTTAAGTTATATTATAAAAACGTCTACTTAAACTTGTGCCATTTTCATGGAAAATTAAAACTTAAATATGTTGTAAGCTATCTAATTATTCCTTGTTGATCAAAATCATTTATTAAATTGAGTAATGTTGTTTCAAATTGAACTTCCTTGTTTGAAAGTGGATTACATAAATTGTTGTTAGCTTGTTGAGTAGGTCTATCCCCGATTTCGGTTAAGCTTCTCCATTATTGGTAGTACGTAAGTGGATGGATAAATTGGCATTTTGTGCAGCATAGCTTGAAACAGGGAAGATGTTTGTGGAATGAACAGTGATAAAATGGGAGTGTTTTAGTCTTTTTTAGTCTCTGGAATTGGACTACCGTTTGTCTTCTCTATATCAATGTAGACTCTTGACTTCTTAACTTAAATTAACAAGTTCATAGGTGCCTACTCCATGTACTATGGCATATATCTAAACATACCAACAATAGTACATAAATGATCCAAATCCTGTTATATATTTTTTTTTCTTCATAAAAAGAAAACATCTAGCAAATAAAATCATAAGTAATAAACAAAAAAATATAGAGAGAGAGGAACTAGAAGAAAGATAAAAAAGAAAAAAAAAAAAAAAAAAAAAAAAAAAAATAGATCAAGAAAAAAATAATAAGATAAAATAAAAATTACTGTCTAAGATAGAAAATATATATATATATATATATATATACAATTTGGTGACGCTTGAGGCTTCAAAATATAGAACTACTGTTAAAATATTTCAAATCTCTAAAAAAAAAATTGTTTTAAATGATGGATCTATGTTTTGTGCGTGTATGCACAATAATGCAGTTTTGACTTCATAAAAGCAGATCAATTGTAATCTACAATTTTCTTGGTACCCCTAGTCAAATATCAGATGAATTTCTATTTTAGCAATTAGAATTAATTTATTTCTAATGTAAAAAATTATACAAAAATAAAAGTAAAAATAATTGCTCCTCTTAACATGCTCAAATATTTTCCAACCATTTAAGGGTGTTATGCATTAATAAAAATAAGTCATTATACAAAGAATTGAAAAGACACTACTTAGTACTAAAGTTCACCTAGTTCATAACAAAACAAAGAATTTAGATAAAAAAAAAACCTTCAAGTTTTAAAGGAAGCTGAAATCATCTTCTAATCATCAAAAATCATGTCATGTGAGTTGGCAAGTTAAGTTAGGTTAAGCAGTTGTAGTAATGCCTCTTATTAGTTTGCATTTTTGTTGTCTTTGTTAATAGTTATGATGTGTTTTTATTTATAAGAAATATTTTTCAATTACTATTACATATTCAAATAAATGTCCTTGAGAGATCTTTTAGGATTACGGAGTATTTTCTAATATCCAATCTTTTTTCTTGTCTCTAGATTAATGAAGTGGAGTATTTTACTCCTTATGATTAACTTAATTTTGTTGCCACTTACATAAAGCTTACTTACATGAGTACTACAAAAAAAATTAGGCTCAAAATATTTAAGGCATAAGAAAACTTTACACAATGAACATGTTGGATCATATTTATACTCTTCTTTGAAGGAGAATTTTCTCTCATTTCTCCTTAAAAGTCTTGGTCTTCCTTCATAGTGTGATATCATTTACAATGAAGATTGCTAGTTTCTTCAGAATTTTAGTTCATATCTACAGGATTGTAAACAAAAGGCTATGGCAAAAAAAATTCTATATTTTGTCTTTCTCCAACATTCTTAGTTGCTACTTGGAAGTGCTATAAAAGCACACCTTAGCTATGATAGATTGCATAGCTTGTATGTAATTTAGAACCAAAGGAGAGCTTGCCAAACTCTTGATAATTGAGATGATTCTTAGACCAATTATATTATAGAATAAAATATCTTTCAAATTACACTAGAATAAAAATTCCAACATAAAAGAAGACAATAAATAGTCATACAAACAAACTTGCACAAAAGAAGCATGAAGTTTTTTTTAAAGATAAATCCAACTTCTCTTTGTCATTGTGGTTGGGGCCTTTAAATTCCACTTGATGTAGTGCACTTCTAGGTGTGTATTACTACTCCATATCAACTTAACCCATATGCTCTAGAATTACAACATTGTTATTTGATTCCACTCCACTTTGAATAGATGCCTATTTACTCTCATGAGATCTTTTTGTTGCAAGAGCTTCATAATAAAATGCACACATGATGTCTTACATATTCAATGTTGTACAACAATATACTTACATACATATACAATGCATTCACATACACACATAATATCTTGCACCATGAATATGACATTTTACCAATGTCTTGCAATATAAGCAGAACATTCTTATTCATGTCAAGGCCCTATGAATTGGCAAGTTAAGTTAAGTTTTGATGAAAACAAAGAAGCAAAACTTTTGATGAAAACAATAATGAGATGTTTTTTTTCTCTTCTTTTTTATCTAGTTGGTTTATCACCTTTTAAGTTGTTTTATATAAGAAATTTTCTTTAAAATTTAAAACCTCTTTTATCTATTCTGGTGCTTTGAGTTTTTTTTTATATATAATTATAAGCTGACTTTTAATTGAATTATGTGATATTTTATGTTTCATTCTTGTTTTATAAAATATATTGTTATAAATCCAAAGAATAACTTGTATCATATCTAAAATAAACTAAAAAATCTTATTACCTTATTTTTTATTAAAATTAAATTTGATTCTATTATTACTTTAATTTTAAAAAGTATGTGAATTCTCTTCTTTTCTTTTTATCTTGCAAATTGAAAGATAAATATTCTCAATATAATTGCACTAGGTTTAAAATAAATTTTATAAGTTTTATAAATTATTTTGATATTTTTTATTATCAATCTAGCATTAATAATTTCTTCTTGTAGGTTTTGATTTTTTCTTTTTAATCTATGATTAATTAATAAAAATAAAACTTGCTTTAAGGCCTTTTTATTACCAACATTACTTGCAAAATCAAATTGATAATTTTAAGACATAACATCTCCAAATTGTGTATAATGCAAAATAAATCATAAAATATTGTATATAATTTGCAAACGATTTTGAGAAATGAATAAAATTATCATTATAAAAATACAAATTTTAAGAATAACTAGCAAGCTATATTAAGTTTTCTACTAAATTTTCTTCTTTTTCTTCTTTTAAAAAATAAAAAACCAAAATTATACTACATAAAAAATTTATTTGTTGATATCCTTTATAGAGTATTGTTATACATATGAAATTGAACAATATATGTACATGTATGTATGTGTATATATATTTATATAACTTTATACTAAATTCTCAGGAAAGCATAGTGAAGGAAGAGTGATAGAGATCACGTCACAAAAATAGAGAAAAAATTCGTTTGTCACTATTAATGAGACCCCTCCTCCACCGTTCACTCTTATGGAACGCCGGGCACGGCAGTAGGCGCTCTTCAGTCATAGGGACTCATGCTCCTGAAGCCGTGCAGGCGAGGGTGGACAAATAAACAGCCAGCCTCTTCGAATGTAATAGGGCAGGAGATGGATTGTGAGGAGGATTGTGAGGAGGATTGTGAGGAGGATTGTGAGGAGTTACAGAGATTCTAGCGGACTGATTGCGGAACACATCTGCGTGATTTGTAATTGCATGACCCATGTTGTGGAACGAAGGCTGCAGCACCACCCATTTAGCCGGAACCTAGGGCATGGTGGCACTGCGCTGTCCCAGAGTGCCTCCTGAATTGTGTGTCGTAGAGGAGAGTCGACAATGGAATAGAAATTTGGATGGTAGATGTGATTTCCGATTCGTCCTGAGTGGCACAGTAACGTGCAGTAAGTAAAGTGATGTTCTCGCTGGGTTGTTGTGGATTGCGGTGCGGGAGGATTTCTAAAGCAGTCTAGGGGTCTGGGAAATCGAAGGGCTTCTTCAAAATGGTGTCGAAAGCTGAAGCAGCAATTTGCGGCAGGGACTGACGAATATTGGTTTGTGGCAGAGAGTGTGGCAAAGCGAATTTGGTGGAAGAAAAGGAACTGACAGCGTAAGAACGAGAATCAGCTCTTTCGGACAAGATGGTGAATGCCATCAAGGGGATCCTGGTCACCTGGTTGGTATCTGCCCCTTATTGAACACGAGATTGTGTTATTCTGGCTTTGTATATTAGGTTTAAAATCTCGTATTTTAGTCATGGGTGTTGTGTAATCTTGTAATGGTAACAGAAAATATGCTACTCGTGTTTCTATGTCTGCTCTTGCTGTACTTCTGTACCGGAGAATTGTGTGGATTGGTAGCTTTTTCTTGGACTCAACAGTCGTATTCTTTACGGTATCGACACAGTCTTTTAATGCGGTGATTTTGACGTGTGGACAATCACAGTGACATTCCGATGGCGCAGCTTCTTATCAGCATAAATGATTCCATGCCCAATGCGCACAAATTCATCGTATACATGCTCGATGACACTCACATCTACGTGCAACCGGATGTTGGGAAGATGCTCCAAAGCAAGTTGCAAGAATTTAGGGATCAGAACACTTACGAAAAGCCTTTTGGGACTTCTTAACTAAAGAGGAAAGCTTATCTGCCGGTCATTCTTATCCGTAATCCTTCTGTGTGCTGCAAAGCAGATGCTCATTCTTCTGTGCCTATTTTTTAAGATTTCGCCACGTCGTAATTGGCGCTGTGTTCTTGGAAAAAGAACAGGATAATTCTACTTCGTGTTTGATCCCTGCTTAACTGCAGATGAGTTGACCTAGGCGTGCCTTCCGAGGTCGTTTACAGTTAAAATTTCATGGATTACAAGGTCGTTTTAGATCAAGATACTACACCTAAGTCTTTGTTTTCTTGAACAGTTAAAGCTTCATGGTTTTGACGTAAAGTTCCGATGCTTTTATGAATGTCTGGCGAAGCAAAATCTACACGAATGTCAATACTTTTGGTGCCTCTCCTTCTTGCGGATTGCAGCTTCGTTTTACGTCTTGTGGACAAGGTCGTGTGAATGATGTTGATTTTTTTGAATCCTACTTTTACATTAGTCTTGGTCGTTGTCTAAATTAGTTCATTATGATTATTATGGTAGACAAAAACCCACTCGCTAAGTGGACAACATATTTTACCTAGCTATATGACATAAAGATTCCACAGGTGAGCTATAAAACACAGTTAAGGTGAACTAAGACTCTTGATTGCCTCTGAAGAATCTAAACATATGTTACATCTTAAATCAATTCATTTTTATTTTTGAAATCCTAACATTTTGTCCATCCATTTCTGTTCATTAACATGCTAAGATGGCATAGTGTGACCTGCCAAACATTGGTCCCATAATGTCGACTATAAATACAAATGGGTCTACAAATTAGACCACAACGGATAACACACTATTGTTTGTAATATGCTTGCATGGACAAATTGATAATTGAAATGTAGATTTTCTCTTGATAATTTTCTAGTCCTCTAATGTAGACGGGTGCAGGATAGAAATACTAATCGAAGGCTTACAACAAAACAAGAACACATTATACACAAAGGAAAATCATTTTTCATTGAACAGAGCATCTGAATACAACATGCTACAAAAAAATGTAGTTGTTACAACAAGCAAAAACCCCTATGAGATTCTCAAAGACAATACTTTTTTTATTTAACTATTAAAATTTTCAAGCACGAAATATTTTTGTTAAGGCATCAAGAGCTTCACTGCAACACGATATCTCTCCAAAGCATCAACATTAGCATCCTTAAAAAACACATTTCTAATCACTTTTTATGAAAATTTTAATATATTTCAAAATTATTACTTTACTATTCAAAAAATAATAATCTTCAATATATATATATATATATATATATATAATTAAAAATCAATTAAACTAATTATTATATATATATATATATAATATATATAATATAAAATATCATTGCTTCATATAAACAATACGACAAAAGTCATCTTAAATAAGAATGACTTATTTTAAATGTAAGAAACCAAACAAAATTTAAGATTAAAATAAAATAACAGCCATAAATTTAATCAAGTGCTTTCTTTCAAAAAACATACCCTAAAAATATGAAAAAAATTCATTACAATTTAAAATTTAATTTTGAAAAGTTGGCAAACAAAAATATAAAAACATTAAAAATTAAAACCAATCTAAAAATTTAACATTAGAAAACCCATTTAACATGACTTATAGATGCACAAAAATAACTAGCTTTATACATAATGTCAAAATAATAGAATTCAGATTCAAATTTAAAACAAAATCTAGACCCAAGCTTTTCCACCTAAATATGCATAGCATGTAATTGCTAAGAAATGAACTTGATTACTTTGTGTAATATAAAAAGTGTCACACTCTCTGTATATTTCTCTTCAATATAACCAAATCACATATCTAATCAATGATGGTATTTATAGTATAGATAAAAGTTTGAAAGATTGATATTACATGCAAATAAAGAAAGCCAATGATGGCAACACTAACAACCAATAAATGTGATTTCATTTACTTTTACAATCAAGTCCCAATGCAACATTTCATCCCTTGTAACAAATTAATCTCTTATTAACTAGGAACATGAATTTTTTCTTATAATATTTACATGAAAAGAACAATCTACATAATTGAATAATTTTTGTTATATTATGTTCCAACAACAAGAAAATAGCATGAAAATATGCAAGTGCACATAAACATGCATCAAATAATAACATATAACAACCCGTTTCTGCTAATCCTACAATCCCCTATAACTACCTTCAACATCCTACCATTCATTAATACAACTTAGTAAACTATCTCATAATGCTTGAGGCTTAGCAAAACATTTTGCATTGCATTGACTATCCATACTTTTAAACAACTAATATGCCTTAAGAAAGAAGCAAAATCTTCTTACACAGATATAAATATACACTCCAATACAAGATTCAAGTGGTGTGACATCGTGTGCCAAATCCTACTGAATGTATGTAATTTAGTTTGGTTCAGTTTTTTTCCATCAACTAAACTTATTCCATTAATTGACTTTGTTGGAATCAACTAAGATTTGAAGATTTAGGTAGAGAAATCCCCTTGACTTGACATTTTTCTCAAGTCCAATATTATGAGTGATTTTAAGAGAAAAAAAAGCTTAGGTTGTAAGGATTTGCTTAGCTATTGTGATTTAGTCATTTAATAAAACATTAGAGATTTCTCTACTCACACTTGGACTCTTGGGTTCCCCTTTGTGACACCAGAGATAGCTTAACTTACTTGTGTGTAGTCTTGGATGTAAAATAGTTTGTGACTCACTTGATGTGTTGTATGTAACAATCTTTGTTTGCACGATACAAACCTAGGAAGTCTTGGATGTAAAGCTCAGTGACACAGCACAGTTGACACTTCGGCATGATTTGATGAAATAAATCTACCCGAAATGCTATTAGGCATATATTGCTCGACAACCTAGCAGTGGTGGACTGCCTCGGATTGATTGGGACTTATCTGGGAAGCCGCTCTCATTACCCTTGCCATCTCAGCTTAAGAAGGAAGGGCCACGAATGACGAATCTCCATCCCACACTCTCCACCCTCCACTGCCAGGTCTGGCGGAGGATGATTCTCAGTGACACCTTCACCGCAGCAGCGGCGAAGTTTTACCTGCCGTGAATGATCGATCATCCACTGGCTGCAATCGCCAGCCGCGGTATGAAAAGAGAAGGGATGGATGCACCCAGGAACACGCACCCTGGAGTGGAGGAGGGTTTAGGGCTTTAGCGTCGTCCTCTGGGTCTCCGCCCTGCTCCCTCAAGTGCATGAGGTGGCCTCTGACGCAATTCCCCGTCTCTCTCACAGCCTCGATTGCGGGGTTAGAGAATTGTATGGTGTTGTCCCCTCCCCCTTCCAATTGGGTCCTGTGGCCATGGCGTCCGTCGGCAACGGGGACTTCACCTTCGCGGGCGCTGGCTGCGGTGTTCTGAGTGATGGGTTCTCCGCAGCGGCGCTGTTCAAGCAGGGATTTTCCTACACTTACGATGATCTCATTTTCCACCCCGGGTACATCGACTTCGCCGTGGACGACGTGGAGCTCGGCACCTCCCTCACGAGGAACATCAAGCTGCGGACGCCGTGCGTGTCGTCCCCCATGGACACCGTGACGGAGGAGTCCATGGCGGTTGCCATGGCAGCTGTGGGCGGCGTCGGGTTCGTGCATTACAACAATACGGCGCGGGAGCAGGCAGAGATCGTGAGGAGGGCGAAAAAGCTGAGGGCGGGGTACGTCTCGGACCCTGCGTGCGTTCGGCCTTCGGACCCAATTTCCAGGATCGATGCGCTGAGGGCCAGGCGGGGGTTCTCCTCCGTGGTCGTGACGGAGGATGGGGCGGTTGGGTCGGCGCTTTTGGGCGTGGTGACGAGCAGGGACGTGGATTTCGTGCGTGACCGGAGCACCGAGGTGCGGGAGGTGATGAGCCGGGACCTGGTGACCGCTCCGGCGGGCAGCACAATGGAGGAAGCTGCGGGGGTTTTGATTCGGAGCAAGAAGAGTTTGCTGCCCTTGGTGACGGAAAGTGGAGATTTTGTGGAGCTTCTGTGCCGGACGGATCTGAAGGCGTATCGTGAATTACCGCCGCTGGGCGCTCCGTCTGTTGGGCCGGATGGTAAAATTCTGGTCGGCGCTGCCATTGGCACCCGCGACAGCGACAAGGAGCGGTTGAAGCTGCTGGTGGATGCCGGGGTGAACGTCGTGATTCTGGACAGCTCGCAAGGAGATTCGATGTACCAGAGGCAGATGATTGAGTTCATAAAGAGGGCTTACCCGGAGTTGGATGTCATCGGGGGAAATGTAGTCACTGCGTACCAGGCGAAGAATCTGATCGACGCTGGTGTGGATGGGTTGCGAGTGGGTATGGGGTCTGGGTCGATTTGCACTACGCAGGAGGTCTGCGCAGTGGGGAGGGGCCAAGTACGTCCTTCTGCACATCTAGGGGTTTGTCGGAATTGAGTAGTTTGGATTTGTGCGTGCGCCTGGTGTCGAAGTGCTGAGAGTCGGTGTGGCATTGGTGAGTGGATGGATGAAAGCTACCGTGAGCGGACAATTGGCGCGTAGGGGAGTGGAGGTGATCGTGAACAAAGAGCGCTGGAGCAGTCCTTTGCAGCGGCGATGGCTTTGAAGTTGCGAACAAATGATCACGTGGGGCTGTGTGGAATGCAGGGAACTGCCGTGTACAAAACTGCAGCAGTGGCCAACGCCCTAGGAGTCCCTGTTATAGCCGACGGAGGAATATCCAACTCGGGACACATAGTGAAGGCACTCTCGTTAGGAGCATCGACAGTGATGATGGGCAGTTTTCTGGCTGGAACAGACGAGGCGCCCGGCAGCTTTTTCTACCAGGTGTTTCCTCGGACCCTGCGGTGGGGTTAATTTCTAGGCCGTGCCTCGCTGTGATGGTGTCCCCAGACGTGGGCGGTCGTGATCGACTGAAGCTTCATGACGTTGTCGGAGACACTGTGGTCGTGTCTTCGTGACGTGTAGCACCTGGAGTTTTGAGGTTACAGGCTGGCGATTCTGGGCGTGAAATTGCTGCTTGTGATTTTTTGATAGATTTATTTATTTCTTACGTCCGTTTCCCGAACACCGCTGTCAGCAGAAGGCTGAGCAGGCATGCGTCCGTCGCGGAGTTGTGTTGTTTGCCTTTGGTTATCAGGCGTCAGTGTGCAGGGTTGAGCGACTGACAGCCACTGGAGGGGTGGTTTAGGATGATGTGAAACTCAAGAGCTACCGGGGAATGGGGTCTTTGGAAGCAATGACGAAGGGCAGTGATGCCCGATATCTCGGAGACAAGACACGTTTGAAGATCGCACAAGGCGTATCGGGTTCTGTAGCTGCCAAAGGCTCCGTGCTGCGGCTCGTCCCCTACACTTTGCAGGCTGTGAAGCAGGGATTGCAAGATTTAGGAGTGCCTTCAGTGAAGGCAGCACATGTCGGCCTCAATGCCGGAGCCATCAGGCTAGAGGTATGCACATGTTGGGCCGGGTTTTTAGAGTTTCATGAGATAGGCATTTGGATTGCACCTGCGTAGCTTATTTGCCTCGTTGGGTGACGCGGTGGATCTGGTCGGTGCAGGTAAGGACAGGCGCAGCGCAAAGGGAAGGCGGCATCCATGATCTTGTGTCGTATGAGAAGAGGAGATTCTGAAGCACGCTGGTGGTACGAACTCGGAAATAGTGAGCAGCAGTGGTTTTGTCACAATATTTGTCTAGAACGTGGATGTGGAGAGACAGAGCCAGGCACAGAGATGTCGGATGGACTTGCGGAGGTCGATACACACTCGTACGTTCTGGTATGCGTTAAATGCAGGCAAACTCTGCAGGCAACGCTAGGTTTGGTGAGTCAGATACAGGGGCGGGTTGCAGCCCACACGTCACGTGCAACTTAGAGCTTCCCTTGTGTAATTGTAAGCACGGGCTCAATCGTTCATCACGAAGGTTGGGCACCAGCTGGATCTATTTGCGAGAGCTTTCCTGCTGGACGTTGGTTGGAGAACTTTGTTTCGCGTAAGTGGTGGAAGAATTTGAGGTTGTTTAAACACTGTGCTCATTGGCAGCCATTCTCATACGATGCCTTTGCATCGCCACACCTGTCAGCATGTTGCGGGGCTGTGTGGTTGGGTTGTACGGTGTATGTGCCCGTGGTGGAATCGACGCAAAGGTATTCGCGTTTTACATTGTTGTTCCCAGATGGGCGCGAGGTGTTTTCATATACGAGTTTGTATCGCCGCAGTTGAGAAATGAGCACATCCGTCATGGGAAATATGGTTAGGAAATTAGCACCCTTAGAGAGTTTCAAGCGCTAAAAAGCGCAAGCCAACCGCAGCTGGCTGCCTACATCCCAGTGAGCAACTGGAACATTTTCACATTCACGCTTCCAAATGATTGCTTGGAGATGCATAATCTAAACTTCGTTAGCAGTGCGGAACAGCAAGGTGTCGCTAACGACACTCGTTGCAACGCATCCAACAAATCGCGCCTATACTCATCCAGACATAGGTACTCATGTTGCACGCACCCACCTCAGTCGGATGGCGTTGTTGTGCGACCTATTGTAAGGGACTGAAATAGGCAGCCCTTACACTAAGAGAAAGAGCAGAGAGTCGTTCAATGCCCAAGGGCGACTCGCAGCTAGGTGACGAAAGGAGAGGTTGGGTGGGTCACCTTCCTCGACCTCGAAGGAGCCCTCGCTTGGGGACGCAAATGGGGTCGATGGGATTGGAGCGCTCCGGGTCCCGGATGCCCTGTAGGATGCCCATGACGCTACTAGTAGGTAGAGTGAGTGCGAGTAGTTCGTCTAGTCTTGAAGGGACATGAAGAGGGAAGTGACCTCTTGGTCCCTTCAGACGTTGTTCACATGATGGTTGTTAGTGGAGGGAGTGGGACGTAGCGAGGAGGATGAGAAGTGACCTCGGCCGCCCTCGCGCATTGCAAAAGCGATGGTGGACACCTACTCAATGAGAGTTCATGGTATTGCGTCTCAAGCCACATCAAATGGGAATACTCAGTCTCTCTCACCCGCAGCTGGATGGGTAGCGTGAGTCGCAATAGGTGCGAGTGAAAGTGTAACAATAACAATTCCGCATTACGTAACCCGGTTCTAACGTGGTTTGTGTGGGATGTCTTTCAGAGCGTTGGAGGAATCTCATAGGGGCGACATTAAATGTGGTATCAGAGCGTTTAAGACCGGGATTGGCGAGAAGCGTGTGAGTGGAGATATTCTGAACCTTTCGTCAGTAAGAAACTGTAGAGAATGGGGAAGAGGACCACGAAAGCTTCAACCCAACGGTTCGATGAGGAAGAAGTTTTGGGGGGAGATTTGCTGGAGGGGCCAAGTCATAGCGAGATGAGCGCGATGACTAGAATGTGGGAAGGGAAAACCAATCCGCACGGCGGAACCAGGCCTTTCCACAAGAAACCTCCGTTTGCTAAGAGAAAATTTGAGGAGACCACCCCAAACTTTTCTAAACTTAAGATGAAAGAAAGTCAGAGGAGCAGTTCGAAAAAAGTGAAGATGAACGCATCAGTGATGTGTTTTCAGTGGCAACAAAAGGGACACTATGCCAACGACTGTAAGAATGAGGAGGTGGCGAAAAAGGTAACCACTATCCTTAATGCTCCTCGACATAAGGTTGAGATGGATCAAAATTTTGACAACTCGAAACCTAGTACTCGAGTATTGGTGAAAAAAGGGAATTCAGATAAGGAATTAGCCTTCACCAATCCATACAAGAAACTTGTTTATTTAGATTCCAGAGTGGAGAATACTGAATTGGCCATGTTGATTGACACAGGCGCAACCAATTTGTTTATGAGCCCCAGATGTGCTGAGAGGTTAGCGCTGACTCAAGAGTCGACCAAGGAGGTAGAGGTATTCTTTGCTAAGGGTGGGGAGATATCTCGCTCGGTTGCAAAAGGCGTAAAGTTTTAAGCGGGAAACGAGAGGTTTAAAGAGGACTTCACAATCTGCCACCTTAATGGAATAGATATAGTCTTAGGTAACACGTTTCTGAATCGATATGGAGTGGAGCTCTGATGAAAACCAGAAATGCGCGTAGTGATGTTGGGAGTACAAGGGAACATCATAGGACTACCCCTTCACCAGCCGCCTAACATTCTATGAATCGAGAATTGCACTTGTTACTCAGGGTGAACTAGAGGGAGAACAGTTCCTCTTACACTTGAGAAGTGGCGACCTCGATTGCAATGATGTAAGTGAAAAAGTCGTTAATAAAAAACGAATGGAAAGGAACCATTCCGTGTGCTTCAAAACTAGTGCAAGAACTAATGTTGAATTTTGGTGATGTCTTGACTACAGAATTACCAAAAGCGCTGCCACCAAATAGAGTAGTAGACCATCGCATCAAACTAGTTCCAGGAGCACAACCTCCAAGCAAGGCGCCTTATCGATTGAACCAACTTGAGTTGAAGGAATTCAAGAAACAGCTGAATGAGCTGTTGGAAAAAGGGTATATCAAACCAAGTAAGTCCCTATTTGGAGCCCCAGTCCTGTTTGTGAGCAAAAAAGATGGGAAAATGAGGATGTGTATTGATTACCGAGCTCTAAACAAAATCAAACTCACTGTCAAAAACAACTACCTGTTATCACGAGTCGACGACTTGCTGGATAGCCTAAGTGAAAGTAGATGTTTCATGTTATCACGAGTCGACGACTTGCTGGATAGCCTAAGTGAAAGTAGATGTTTCAGCAAGATTGATCTTAAAAGCGGATATTATCAAATAAGGATTGCACAGGAGGACGTGGAAAAGACAACATGTAGGACAAGGTATGGTTCCTACGAGTTTGTGGTAATGCCCTTTGGTTTATGTAATGCACCAACAACTTTTACCACACTAATGAATTCGATTTTCCATGAAGAAAGTGATGAGTTTGTAGTCGTGTACATCGACGACATTTTGGTGTTTTCCAAAAGTGAACAGGAGCATCAAAGATACTTACGAACAGTGCTCACAAAGCTAAGGGAAAACCAATTGTATGTAAATTAAGAGAAGAGTGTCTTCTACTTGGAAGAATTGGAATTCCTTGGACACATTATCAGTAAAGAAGGCATTAAGCCGGATCCAAGAAAAATCTAGGCAATCCAGACTTGGAAAAAACCTAAAACACAGAAGGGCGTACAATCCTTCTTAGGACTAGCGAATTATTATCGGAAGTTCATTAAGACTTCTCAAAGATCGCTGGACCTTTGACGAATCTGTTGAAGAAGGAAAACAAGTCCATTAAGTGGGACAGCCGTTGTGACGAATCCTTCAAAGAAATTAAAGAAGCATTGATTTTCAGTTCGGTATTGTGCTATCCTCAATTTGATAAAGATTTCGAAGTTCACACGGATGCGAGTGACTTTGCCATCAGGGGAGTACTGATGCAAGAACAGTGGCCTGTTGCCTTTGAGAGTAAGAAATTGAGGTGGCCAACTCATGAGAAAGAGTTGTTCGTGGTGGTGCATTGTTTGAAAACTTGAAAACACTACATGGGTGGGAGAACAACCAAGATATACACCAACAACATTTCTCTCAAATACCTTAAGTCAAAATCGCAAGCGTCTCCAAAGGAATCAAGGTGGTATGATGTAATTGTTTCGATGGACATCGAACTAATATACAAACCAGGAAGAGACAACTTGGTGCCAAATGCACTAAATAAGAGAGAAGAGTTCTTGGAAGCAAAGTTACATAACACCATGACACTCAGTACCATTGTATATTGTGGCGATTTTCCTCTTCTTAAAGGCATAAAGGAAGCCTATAAGGTGGTCAAGGATGCGTTGGAGATCAAGAAAGCGTTTTCCAGTACCAAAACCACCAGGGAGCAAAGAAAGCTTATGGAAGTCTCTTCAATCAAAGATGGTTTGATCTGGTTTAAACAAACACGACTCTACATTCCAGTTGGTAAGTGGAGAAGGAAAGATATGTACGAAGTTCATGATGCCCCGTGTTCGAGACACAAAGGCATGAAAACCACCTTGAGGGACATGTCTCGTTCATATTATTGGCCATCATTGAAGGAAGATGTTGAAGCATATGTAAAGAATTGATTGGTGTGCCAAAGGAACAAGCATTCAACACAAGTTAAGGCAGGATTACTAGAACCTCTACTTATTCCTTCTATGCCTTATAGAGATATCTCGTTGGACTTTATAACAGGCTTGCCGAGATGTGGGGAAGCCAATGCTATTTTAGTCATAGTGGACAAGTTCAGCAAGACAACAAGTTTCACAACAATGGAGATGTTTTCGAAGGACTCTAAAGAGGAGTTGGAGACAGCACTGCAGTTGACGGCGAGTCTCTTCTTCGACTCTTGGATCTCGCTATATAGAGTCCCAACCTCGATTGTAAGCGACAAAGATGTCCGCTTTACAACGTAGTTTTGGCAACACGTGATGAGAAAGTTAGGATCTAAGTTGATTCTCACAACAACATGGCATCTTCAAGGGGATGGCGAGACAATAAGAATTAATGGAATTCTTTCTATGTACCTGAGGCACTATGTGGCAAGCGATCACAAGGATTGGGCCAAATGGCTGCCCATAGCTGATTTTAGTTATAACACGACTCGAAATGAATCCTTAGGTAGCACACCATTCCAAGTAGCCTAAGGATTTGAGGCACTTAAATCAATCGACTTGATCAAAGTCAAACAAAGGGACGAGCTAACTTCACGATTTTACTCAATAGATAGAGCGAAATGGGTAGCGCAAAGAGAGGCCATTATGGATACTGCCAAAATAAGATTGGTAGCAACTCAGAGTAAATACAAGAAACAAGCCGACAAGCATAAAAGAGACGTGCAGTTCAGGCGAGGCGACCAAGTCTGGTTGAATACGAATAACCTTACTTGTCTCGCACATCTCACTCCCAAGTGGACCCAGAAATAGGCTGGGCCTTACTTAGTTGAGAGAATATTGCATAAAAACGTCTATGTGTTAGACGTCCCCAAAAGGTTAAAGTGGCATCCGGTTTTCCATGTGAGTGTTCTCAAAAAGTTTGTGGCTGATGAAAAAGGCTTCTACAAAGAGAAAGCATGCATTCCACCGCAAGAAGAGGTATGGGACCAAACCATGGGTCAAGTATCGGCAATACTTGATAAGAAACGAACCGATGTTAGGGGAGTGCAGTATTTATGTACTTTCAAAGGCTATTCGCCACACGAGTTTTAGTGGATTAATGAGTGAAACTTGAGACATGTGCAAGGATTGGTTACAACCTTCATTAAGAAAGTTGGAGAGTACAAACAAAGGAGGTCTACATAGAAGCAGTTGAAGAACTGACGAATGTGAATCAACATGCACAACCTCATGACGTACCAAGAAGATGAGGGCATCTCCCCTTCAGCAAGGAAGGGGAAGGTCGCGGAGGTAACCTATGCAGAGGAATAGGGAAAAGTGGTGTGGGTTTCTCAACATGGAAGCAACTTTGAAAAGATTCTAGCCCGAGGAGACTTCATGAAAGATAACTTTCATGAAGCTTGTATGAGGCGGATACAAGACCCTAAGCAACCAGGCCTAAACGATTGGCTTTTCCTAAGCGGATTACTCGCTGGGTGATTGCAAACCACCTCCCTTAGGTAAGGAAGAGTAGTGAAGCGAAGCGGGCTTCAGTTAAGGGGTTCAACGGCCAAGGTAAGTCTCAAAAAGGAGTGATCTTCTTCGACTTGCATCCGGAAGTGCAAGATTTTCAAAGTGACTTAATGAGAGAAATTGATGGAAAGCTGGAGGCGAGGTGTACAAAGAACATGAGAAGAGGTAGTGACCCGCCTCAATAATAATAAAAATGTGAAAGATTCCTCTGAAGAGTTAAGGGGTGAACAAAAGAGGAAGCCCGGCAGAAAAGAGAGCCTCCACACTGCCTAGGTGGCGAGAGTACCAATTGTGCTAAGAGTGCTCGAGGGACCAAATGGAATGAATTCCACCCCTCAAAAGGATGGATTATCCTACAAAAAGCATTATCACTATCAATGAAGACATTGACCTCCTCAAAGTGGAGGAGGATGTAAGGGACTAAAATAGGCAGCCCTTATACTAAGAGAAAGAGCTAAGAGTCGTTCAATGCCCAAAGGCGACTCGTAGCAAGGTGACGAAAGGAGAGGTTGGGTGGGTCACCTTCCTCGACCTCGAAGGAGCCTTCATATGGAGATGCGAGTGGGGTCAATGGGATTGGAGCACTCCGGGTCTCGGGTGCCTTGTAGGACACCCATGACGCTACTAGTAGGTAGAGTGAGTGCAAGTAGTCCATCTAGTCCTGAAGGAACATGAAGAGGGAAGTGACCTCTTGGTCCCTTCGGACGTTGCCCACAAGGAGGGAAGTGACCTCTTGGTCCCTTCAGACATTGCCCACATGATGGTTGTTAGTGGAAGGAGTGGGACATAGCTAGGAGGACTAGAAGTGACCTCGGCCACCCTCACGCATCGCAAAAGCGATGGTGGACACCTACTCAATGAGAATTCAAGGTATTGCGTCTCAAGCCACATCAGATGGGAATACTCAGTCTCTCTCACCAGCTGGATGGGCAGCGTGAGTGGCAGTAGGCGCTAGTGAGAGTGTATCAATAACAATTCCGCATTGCATAACTAGGGTTTTAACGTGGTTTGTGTGGGATGTCTTTCAGAGCGTTGGAGGGATCTCATAGGGGCGACGTTACACCTATGTGCACAGAAAAACACAGCAGCAAACATCTCCCACGTGCACGCAAAACAACTGGCCGAAGAAGCAACAAAGACAAATATCACTCCGCATATAAACGTGTTAAAAAAATTACTTTTATTGCATTCACTATCCCCCCATCCAATTCGGCGCAACCGCCTACTGTCTAGTCTCTGCTTGACGCTTCGCTAGTGTAGCAGTACATTGCGCCATCGTCCGTGACGCCCGGCTAATTGCGTCAGTCATGTAATAATTCTCGATGGCCTTCGGAAGAGGAGACGATTCCAAGGCAGCACCTGGTCTTGTGTTTGTGTCCAGCGCCCACCCTGTGGCCAACTCCACTTCGTCTACTCGCAACAAATTTGGAGCCACTGCCATCATGCGAGCTCTCAAGCCGTTTGCCGCGTCGTACGGGAGCGTCTTCCCCGCAACCTCTGAAAGTGCACGGATGATCTTCCAATCATCTCGGGCATCCCCAACGGTCGGCACGGCTGAGCTCGTCTGCTGAGCTCGCCCTTCGACGTTCTCGTATGTGCCTTCCTTCTCCGTGTAAGCCGCACCAGGAAGGATCACGTTTGCCCTGTACGCACTACGATCGCCGTGATGCCCTTGGTACACCACAAAAGCATCCTCTGGAATGTCTGCGGGAGTCAGGTCGTCAGCCCCCAACAGGTACAAAAATCTTGCGTCCGCTTTTCCTGCCCTTGCACCTGGCACGAATCCCAGGTCACGTGCTGCTGCTTGAGAAGCGTTCAGAAGCAGAACGTTGGCTCCGAACCAATCGTCCCGAATCAGGTTACTCTGCTCTGCGATGATGTCCAGTGCGGACATTATTGCCGCCTTATCTCCGCGCTCCAGCGCTCCACTACCCACGATGACCACAGGTCGTTCAGCCGATGCCAACTCCGCGCAAAACGGATGTCGCCCTTCAGCGATCTCCAGCAGCGTGTCCGTGTCAACACCTAGGTGCTGGTGGGGATACGTCAAGTCCACCTCGGGACCCACGACAGCCACCTTTGCCTTGTTGAACCTCACTGCTTTCCGCAGCCTTGCGTTCACCATAGGAGCCTCCCACCGAAGCTTCAATCGAATAACCAACCAACCAACCATCAGCTACACCATCCAACTGTGGCTTGCACACGCTAAAGCTACGCCACTAAGGCTGCCGGACGCTCCGACACAACCAAATCCTATCGCAGCACCGAAAACAATTCCAGGTCCCCCCTCAAACTGCACTCGCTTTACCTGAGTTCCGATCAGCAAACACACGTCTGCCTGCTCCAGGCCGGCAATGCCCGTGTTCAGCAAGAACCTGGATCTCAAGTCTGCATCCACCGACTCGCCATCCCCTTCGGCCCACAGGCGCTCACAACCCATCCTGTTCAGAAAATCCTTCAGTGCCAACATGGACTCCGCATCGGCCAACTTGCCGGCCACACCTACCATCTCTTCTGGCTTCACTTTATAAGCCGCCTCAGCAATAGCCTCCAGCGCATCTTTCCATGATGCCGCCTGCAGTTGTCCATCGGGACGCCGGATCATCGGCTCGCTTAGCCGCTGACGCTTCAGACCATCGTAACTGAACCTCGCCTTGTCTCCGATCCACTCCTCGTTGATTTCCTGCGCATCGCACATTCACCAACACGGCATCAACACCCATGATTCCTGGGACATCAAACCTGCCCAAAATACTCGTCCCAAACTCCGCTCATGTTCGCTAAGCCAAAGAAACCCCTTCCCGGCCACCACCAGTCCAACGCCAACCCCGCGGCTCCGCTATCTGGCTCCTAATCCATGCTTCACATACGCCTATCCACTGAGAGCGGCCCCGCAACGGACCTCATGAAGGCGAGGAATGATACGCATCACTTCAGGTCCGCGGCTGTTGATGCGGATGTTTGAGCCCACGGCATCCAAAACGTCGATACTCTCCGTCGCCTTCAGCTCCCACGGTCTTGCTGTGAATGCATACGGCTTGGATGTCAACGCCCCAACAGGACACACATCGATCACGTTGCCGGACAACTCGCTCGTCATCAAGTTTTCTACGTATGTTCCAATCTCCTCGCTTCCTCCACGCCCCAGCACGCCCAGATCCTCCACGCCAGCAATCTCCTTGGCAAATCTCACACACCTGCACCACGTTGCAGAAACGTCAGCACGGCCTGTTCCAACCTCCCAATCCATGGGTTTGCTTATTCACAACCAATGCAACCCTCGCATGCCGAAGCTAGCCCGTCCATGTCCTCTACGTCAGCCCACCAAAATCCTCCGGCCGCCGGTTTCTCTATCCCCGCCTGAGACACCACGTTCGTCTTCTAACGACCGTCCATGAGACCTAGTCTCGCGTCTGCGACTCTGCATCTAACATCCAGAAACACGCCATTCCACGGCTACCGGATCCGCGCGCCCGGCAGCCAATGATACATTCACGAGTCCGCTGCTAATTCACGACAGAACCGCGACCATTGCTACGTAACATCCCTCCGCGCATGCATTGCTGCCCCCTCCGAACTGGCCATCCACCGCCTCGAAGTCACTGACCTGGTACATTGGATGCATCGAGTCATGATGGTCTTCACCAGGGGCCCCAGGTTCTTGTCCAGAACAGATCTCTTCGTGTCGATAAAACGGCCACGATCGGATCCAAACACCATCGACTGGTCCTGAAGATCGCACTCTCCTCCTTGATCGCAAATCGGACAATCTAAGGGGTGGTTCATCAGAAGGAACTCCATCACTCCCTCCCTTGCTTTCTTAGCCAGAGGTGTGTCCGTCTTGATTTTCATACCTGGAATCCGCTCCGCCTCTTAGCACCCCCTTCTTTTGCCACACACAATCCATTCTACCAACCAGAAATCCTCCACACAATGTTTGCGGGAAACCAACAAAAAACAGCTTCTAGTTTCGCGGAATCGAACCTGGCAAAGCAGGCATGGCGCAAGACGCGACGGGCTTCGGAGTCTTCTCCACCTCGACCAGGCACATGCGACAATTCCCAGCAATAGAAAGACGACTGTGGTAGCAGAACCGAGGAATGGTCACCCCTCCCAGCTCGCATGCCTGCAACACCGTCATGCCCTTGGGAACTTGCACGGCCATCCCGTCCACGCTCACCTCAATTGTCTCCACTTCCACTTTCTCAGGCTTCACCCTGTTAGACGCCAGGGCAGCGCTGCTTGCGTGGCGTACGCCGCCCAGCGAGCTCGCCAATGGACCTGTCCCATCCGACCCTCTCTCGCAGGCGACCTGATGGTGACGACGAGGGAGATGCGACGTCGCGGGCAGAGCCGCATCACGAACCCCTGCTATGCTCAATTTGCTACGAAACAACGGAGTCGCTGCTACCTCCTGCAGCAGCTTCACCGTCTGGCGCCCCCTACAAGCCATCCTACCCCCTTCTCCAAACCCTCCCTCGCAAACGACACCATCAAAGTGAGATGAACACCATCACTCGGCGTCACTTGGCGTCTCATCTCATCTTCAGATGAACAGCGGCCTTGTATGCCAGAGACCAAGCGTGCACTGAGGATGACAAAGGAGACTTCCCATCCATCACGTGACGGAGGAAGTGAGGGACTTCCTGTGCCCAACACGCGACGAACTGCTCTCTGCTTTAGTCATGGTGGAAGGGTGTTCCCTTGCTGTCTAGTATCCGGTGGATAACCGGCAAGAACGCCCTGCCTGGAGCGGTGATCACCTCCCTCCTCGGCTCTCAGAGCTTTTGGAGCTTGGAAGGGGAATGAAGGCAGGACGGGGGCATGCGGGGATGCGAGATGTTGTTCCGATTTAGGTCACACAACTCGCTCGTCCTCATTTCGGGATTTTGCAGGACGGGCCCATATGCGGAGGGCGGGGAGCTGCGATTTAGGTCGACTGCGCCTCGCATGAGGTCGTGATCGGAGGTCGCTTTGCGATTTGGGATAGCGCAGATCGTTTTCCCGATTTGAGCGTACGTGTGTGGATGCATTTGTGTATTGTGAGTGAGTCGGAAGGAGGTGTCGTTTGCGAGGGAGGGTTTGGAGAAGGGGGTAGGATGGCTTGTAGGGGGCGCCAGACGGTGAAGCTGCTGCAGGAGGTAGCAGCGACTCCGTTGTTTCGTAGCAAATTGAGCATAGCAGGGGTTCGTGATGCGGCTCTGCCCGCGACGTCGCATCTCCCTCGTCGTCACCATCAGGTCGCCTGCGAGAGAGGGTCGGATGGGACAGGTCCATTGGCGAGCTCGCTGGGCGGCGTACGCCACGCAAGCAGCGCTGCCCTGGCGTCTAACAGGGTGAAGCCTGAGAAAGTGGAAGTGGAGACAATTGAGGTGAGCGTGGACGGGATGGCCGTGCAAGTTCCCAAGGGCATGACGGTGTTGCAGGCATGCGAGCTGGGAGGGGTGACCATTCCTCGGTTCTGCTACCACAGTCGTCTTTCTATTGCTGGGAATTGTCGCATGTGCCTGGTCGAGGTGGAGAAGACTCCGAAGCCCGTCGCGTCTTGCGCCATGCCTGCTTTGCCAGGTTCGATTCCGCGAAACTAGAAGCTGTTTTTTGTTGGTTTCCCGCAAACATTGTGTGGAGGATTTCTGGTTGGTAGAATGGATTGTGTGTGGCAAAAGAAGGGGGTGCTAAGAGGCGGAGCGGATTCCAGGTATGAAAATCAAGACGGACACACCTCTGGCTAAGAAAGCAAGGGAGGGAGTGATGGAGTTCCTTCTGATGAACCACCCCTTAGATTGTCCGATTTGCGATCAAGGAGGAGAGTGCGATCTTCAGGACCAGTCGATGGTGTTTGGATCCGATCGTGGCCGTTTTATCGACACGAAGAGATCTGTTCTGGACAAGAACCTGGGGCCCCTGGTGAAGACCATCATGACTCGATGCATCCAATGTACCAGGTCAGTGACTTCGAGGCGGTGGATGGCCAGTTCGGAGGGGGCAGCAATGCATGCGCGGAGGGATGTTACGTAGCAATGGTCGCGGTTCTGTCGTGAATTAGCAGCGGACTCGTGAATGTATCATTGGCTGCCGGGCGCGCGGATCCGGTAGCCGTGGAATGGCGTGTTTCTGGATGTTAGATGCAGAGTCGCAGACGCGAGACTAGGTCTCATGGACGGTCGTTAGAAGACGAACGTGGTGTCTCAGGCGGGGATAGAGAAACCGGCGGCCGGAGGATTTTGGTGGGCTGACGTAGAGGACATGGACGGGCTAGCTTCGGCATGCGAGGGTTGCATTGGTTGTGAATAAGCAAACCCATGGATTGGGAGGTTGGAACAGGCCGTGCTGACGTTTCTGCAACGTGGTGCAGGTGTGTGAGATTTGCCAAGGAGATTGCTGGCGTGGAGGATCTGGGCGTGCTGGGGCGTGGAGGAAGCGAGGAGATTGGAACATACGTAGAAAACTTGATGACGAGCGAGTTGTCCGGCAACGTGATCGATGTGTGTCCTGTTGGGGCGTTGACATCCAAGCCGTATGCATTCACAGCAAGACCGTGGGAGCTGAAGGCGACGGAGAGTATCGACGTTTTGGATGCCGTGGGCTCAAACATCCGCATCAACAGCCGCGGACCTGAAGTGATGCGTATCATTCCTCGCCTTCATGAGGTCCGTTGCGGGGCCGCTCTCAGTGGATAGGCGTATGTGAAGCATGGATTAGGAGCCAGATAGCGGAGCCGCGGGGTTGGCGTTGGACTGGTGGTGGCCGGGAAGGGGTTTCTTTGGCTTAGCGAACATGAGCGGAGTTTGGGACGAGTATTTTGGGCAGGTTTGATGTCCCAGGAATCATGGGTGTTGATGCCGTGTTGGTGAATGTGCGATGCGCAGGAAATCAACGAGGAGTGGATCGGAGACAAGGCGAGGTTCAGTTACGATGGTCTGAAGCGTCAGCGGCTAAGCGAGCCGATGATCCGGCGTCCCGATGGACAACTGCAGGCGGCATCATGGAAAGATGCGCTGGAGGCTATTGCTGAGCCGGCTTATAAAGTGAAGCCAGAAGAGATGGTAGGTGTGGCCGGCAAGTTGGCCGATGCGGAGTCCATGTTGGCACTGAAGGATTTTCTGAACAGGATGGGTTGTGAGCGCCTGTGGGCCGAAGGGGATGGCGAGTCGGTGGATGCAGACTTGAGATCCAGGTTCTTGCTGAACACGGGCATTGCCGGCCTGGAGCAGGCAGACGTGTGTTTGCTGATCGGAACTCAGGTAAAGCGAGTGCAGTTTGAGGGGGGACCTGGAATTGTTTTCGGTGCTGCGATAGGATTTGGTTGTGTCGGAGCGTCCGGCAGCCTTAGTGGCGTAGCTTTAGCGTGTGCAAGCCACAGTTGGATGGTGTAGCTGATGGTTGGTTGGTTGGTTATTCGATTGAAGCTTCGGTGGGAGGCTCCTATGGTGAACGCAAGGCTGCGGAAAGCAGTGAGGTTCAACAAGGCAAAGGTGGCTGTCGTGGGTCCCGAGGTGGACTTGACGTATCCCCACCAGCACCTAGGTGTTGACACGGACACGCTGATGAAGATCGCTGAAGGGCGACATCCGTTTTGCGCGGAGTTGGCATCGGCTGAACGACCTGTGGTCATCGTGGGTAGTGGAGCGCTGGAGCGCGGAGATAAGGCGGCAATAATGTCCGCACTGGACATCATCGCAGAGCAGAGTAACCTGATTCGGGACGATTGGTTCGGAGCCAACGTTCTGCTTCTGAACGCTTCTCAAGCAGCAGCACGTGACCTGGGATTCGTGCCAGGTGCAAGGGCAGGAAAAGCGGACGCAAGATTTTTGTACCTGTTGGGGGCTGACGACCTGACTCCCGCAGACATTCCAGAGGATGCTTTTGTGGTGTACCAAGGGCATCACGGCGATCGTAGTGCGTACAGGGCAAACGTGATCCTTCCTGGTGCGGCTTACACGGAGAAGGAAGGCACATACGAGAACGTCGAAGGGCGAGCTCAGCAGACGAGCTCAGCCGTGCCGACCGTTGGGGATGCCCGAGATGATTGGAAGATCATCCGTGCACTTTCAGAGGTTGCGGGGAAGACGCTCCCGTACGACGCGGCAAACGGCTTGAGAGCTCGCATGATGGCAGTGGCTCCAAATTTGTTGCGAGTAGACGAAGTGGAGTTGGCCACAGGGTGGGCGCTGGACACAAACACAAGACCAGGTGCTGCCTTGGAATCGTCTCCTCTTCCGAAGGCCATCGAGAATTATTACATGACTGACGCAATTAGCCGGGCGTCACGGACGATGGCGCAATGTACTGCTACACTAGCGAAGCGTCAAGCAGAGACTAGACAGTAGGCGGTTGCGCCGAATTGGATGGGGGGATAGTGAATGCAATAAAAGTAATTTTTTTAACACGTTTATATGCGGAGTGATATTTGTCTTTGTTGCTTCTTCGGCCAGTTGTTTTGCGTGCACGTGGGAGATGTTTGCTGCTGTGTTTTTCTGTGCACATAGGTGTAACGTCGCCCCTATGAGATCCCTCCAACGCTCTGAAAGACATCCCACACAAACCACGTTAAAACCCTAGTTATGCAATGCGGAATTGTTATTGATACACTCTCACTAGCGCCTACTGCCACTCACGCTGCCCATCCAGCTGGTGAGAGAGACTGAGTATTCCCATCTGATGTGGCTTGAGACGCAATACCTTGAATTCTCATTGAGTAGGTGTCCACCATCGCTTTTGCGATGCGTGAGGGTGGCCGAGGTCACTTCTAGTCCTCCTAGCTATGTCCCACTCCTTCCACTAACAACCATCATGTGGGCAATGTCTGAAGGGACCAAGAGGTCACTTCCCTCCTTGTGGGCAACGTCCGAAGGGACCAAGAGGTCACTTCCCTCTTCATGTTCCTTCAGGACTAGATGGACTACTTGCACTCACTCTACCTACTAGTAGCGTCATGGGTGTCCTACAAGGCACCCGAGACCCGGAGTGCTCCAATCCCATTGACCCCACTCGCATCTCCATATGAAGGCTCCTTCGAGGTCGAGGAAGGTGACCCACCCAACCTCTCCTTTCGTCACCTTGCTACGAGTCGCCTTTGGGCATTGAACGACTCTTAGCTCTTTCTCTTAGTATAAGGGCTGCCTATTTTAGTCCCTTACATCCTCCTCCACTTTGAGGAGGTCAATGTCTTCATTGATAGTGATAATGCTTTTTGTAGGATAATCCATCCTTTTGAGGGGTGGAATTCATTCCATTTGGTCCCTCGAGCACTCTTAGCACAATTGGTACTCTCGCCACCTAGGCAGTGTGGAGGCTCTCTTTTCTGCCGGGCTTCCTCTTTTGTTCACCCCTTAACTCTTCAGAGGAATCTTTCACATTTTTATTATTATTGAGGCGGGTCACTACCTCTTCTCATGTTCTTTGTACACCTCGCCTCCAGCTTTCCATCAATTTCTCTCATTAAGTCACTTTGAAAATCTTGCACTTCCGGATGCAAGTCGAAGAAGATCACTCCTTTTTGAGACTTACCTTGGCCGTTGAACCCCTTAACTGAAGCCCGCTTCGCTTCACTACTCTTCCTTACCTAAGGGAGGTGGTTTGCAATCACCCAGCGAGTAATCCGCTTAGGAAAAGCCAATCGTTTAGGCCTGGTTGCTTAGGGTCTTGTATCCGCCTCATACAAGCTTCATGAAAGTTATCTTTCATGAAGTCTCCTCGGGCTAGAATCTTTTCAAAGTTGCTTCCATGTTGAGAAACCCACACCACTTTTCCCTATTCCTCTGCATAGGTTACCTCCGCGACCTTCCCCTTCCTTGCTGAAGGGGAGATGCCCTCATCTTCTTGGTACGTCATGAGGTTGTGCATGTTGATTCACATTCGTCAGTTCTTCAACTGCTTCTATGTAGACCTCCTTTGTTTGTACTCTCCAACTTTCTTAATGAAGGTTGTAACCAATCCTTGCACATGTCTCAAGTTTCACTCATTAATCCACTAAAACTCGTGTGGCGAATAGCCTTTGAAAGTACATAAATACTGCACTCCCCTAACATCGGTTCGTTTCTTATCAAGTATTGCCGATACTTGACCCATGGTTTGGTCCCATACCTCTTCTTGCGGTGGAATGCATGCTTTCTCTTTGTAGAAGCCTTTTTCATCAGCCACAAACTTTTTGAGAACACTCACATGGAAAACCGGATGCCACTTTAACCTTTTGGGGACGTCTAACACATAGACGTTTTTATGCAATATTCTCTCAACTAAGTAAGGCCCAGCCTATTTCTGGGTCCACTTGGGAGTGAGATGTGCGAGACAAGTAAGGTTATTCGTATTCAACCAGACTTGGTCGCCTCGCCTGAACTGCACGTCTCTTTTATGCTTGTCGGCTTGTTTCTTGTATTTACTCTGAGTTGCTACCAATCTTATTTTGGCAGTATCCATAATGGCCTCTCTTTGCGCTACCCATTTCGCTCTATCTATTGAGTAAAATCGTGAAGTTAGCTCGTCCCTTTGTTTGACTTTGATCAAGTCGATTGATTTAAGTGCCTCAAATCCTTAGGCTACTTGGAATGGTGTGCTACCTAAGGATTCATTTCGAGTCGTGTTATAACTAAAATCAGCTATGGGCAGCCATTTGGCCCAATCCTTGTGATCGCTTGCCACATAGTGCCTCAGGTACATAGAAAGAATTCCATTAATTCTTATTGTCTCGCCATCCCCTTGAAGATGCCATGTTGTTGTGAGAATCAACTTAGATCCTAACTTTCTCATCACGTGTTGCCAAAACTACGTTGTAAAGCGGACATCTTTGTCGCTTACAATCGAGGTTGGGACTCTATATAGCGAGATCCAAGAGTCGAAGAAGAGACTCGCCGTCAACTGCAGTGCTGTCTCCAACTCCTCTTTAGAGTCCTTCGAAAACATCTCCATTGTTGTGAAACTTGTTGTCTTGCTGAACTTGTCCACTATGACTAAAATAGCATTGGCTTCCCCACATCTCGGCAAGCCTGTTATAAAGTCCAACGAGATATCTCTATAAGGCATAGAAGGAATAAGTAGAGGTTCTAGTAATCCTGCCTTAACTTGTGTTGAATGCTTGTTCCTTTGGCACACCAATCAATTCTTTACATATGCTTCAACATCTTCCTTCAATGATGGCCAATAATATGAACGAGACATGTCCCTCAAGGTGGTTTTCATGCCTTTGTGTCTCGAACACGGGGCATCATGAACTTCGTACATATCTTTCCTTCTCCACTTACCAACTGGAATGTAGAGTCGTGTTTGTTTAAACCAGATCAAACCATCTTTGATTGAAGAGACTTCCATAAGCTTTCTTTGCTCCCTGGTGGTTTTGGTACTGGAAAACGCTTTCTTGATCTCCAACGCATCCTTGACCACCTTATAGGCTTCCTTTATGCCTTTAAGAAGAGGAAAATCGCCACAATATACAATGGTACTGAGTGTCATGGTGTTATGTAACTTTGCTTCCAAGAACTCTTCTCTCTTATTTAGTGCATTTGGCACCAAGTTGTCTCTTCCTGGTTTGTATATTAGTTCGATGTCCATCGAAACAATTACATCATACCACCTTGATTCCTTTGGAGACGCTTGCGATTTTGACTTAAGGTATTTGAGAGAAATGTTGTTGGTGTATATCTTGGTTGTTCTCCCACCCATGTAGTGTTTTCAAGTTTTCAAACAATGCACCACCACGAACAACTCTTTCTCATGAGTTGGCCACCTCAATTTCTTACTCTCAAAGGCAACAGGCCACTGTTCTTGCATCAGTACTCCCCTGATGGCAAAGTCACTCGCATCCGTGTGAACTTCGAAATCTTTATCAAATTGAGGATAGCACAATACCGAACTGAAAATCAATGCTTCTTTAATTTCTTTGAAGGATTCGTCACAACGGCTGTCCCACTTAATGGACTTGTTTTCCTTCTTCAACAGATTCGTCAAAGGTCCAGCGATCTTTGAGAAGTCTTAATGAACTTCCGATAATAATTCGCTAGTCCTAAGAAGGATTGTACGCCCTTCTGTGTTTTAGGTTTTTTCCAAGTCTGGATTGCCTAGATTTTTCTTGGATCCGGCTTAATGCCTTCTTTACTGATAATGTGTCCAAGGAATTCCAATTCTTCCAAGTAGAAGACACTCTTCTCTTAATTTACATACAATTGGTTTTCCCTTAGCTTTGTGAGCACTGTTCGTAAGTATCTTTGATGCTCCTGTTCACTTTTGGAAAACACCAAAATGTCGTCGATGTACACGACTACAAACTCATCACTTTCTTCATGGAAAATCGAATTCATTAGTGTGGTAAAAGTTGTTGGTGCATTACATAAACCAAAGGGCATTACCACAAACTCGTAGGAACCATACCTTGTCCTACATGTTGTCTTTTCCACGTCCTCCTGTGCAATCCTTATTTGATAATATCCGCTTTTAAGATCAATCTTGCTGAAACATCTACTTTCACTTAGGCTATCCAGCAAGTCGTCGACTCGTGATAACATGAAACATCTACTTTCACTTAGGCTATCCAGCAAGTCGTCGACTCGTGATAACAGGTAGTTGTTTTTGACAGTGAGTTTGATTTTGTTTAGAGCTCGGTAATCAATACACATCCTCATTTTCCCATCTTTTTTGCTCACAAACAGGACTGGGGCTCCAAATAGGGACTTACTTGGTTTGATATACCCTTTTTCCAACAGCTCATTCAGCTGTTTCTTGAATTCCTTCAACTCAAGTTGGTTCAATCGATAAGGCGCCTTGCTTGGAGGTTGTGCTCCTGGAACTAGTTTGATGCGATGGTCTACTACTCTATTTGGTGGCAGCGCTTTTGGTAATTCTGTAGTCAAGACATCACCAAAATTCAACATTAGTTCTTGCACTAGTTTTGAAGCACACGGAATGGTTCCTTTCCATTCGTTTTTTATTAACGACTTTTTCACTTACATCATTGCAATCGAGGTCGCCACTTCTCAAGTGTAAGAGGAACTGTTCTCCCTCTAGTTCACCCTGAGTAACAAGTGCAATTCTCGATTCATAGAATGTTAGGCGGCTGGTGAAGGGGTAGTCCTATGATGTTCCCTTGTACTCCCAACATCACTACGCGCATTTCTGGTTTTCATCAGAGCTCCACTCCATATCGATTCAGAAACGTGTTACCTAAGACTATATCTATTCCATTAAGGTGGCAGATTGTGAAGTCCTCTTTAAACCTCTCGTTTCCCGCTTAAAACTTTACGCCTTTTGCAACCGAGCGAGATATCTCCCCACCCTTAGCAAAGAATACCTCTACCTCCTTGGTCGACTCTTGAGTCAGCGCTAACCTCTCAGCACATCTGGGGCTCATAAACAAATTGGTTGCGCCTGTGTCAATCAACATGGCCAATTCAGTATTCTCCACTC